TGACACCGTGGGTGAGAAATAAAGCCAATCTTTGATCAACAAATCTGATTATAGCTGCCACATAAAAATTCCCCCATCCGTGGGTGCACTACACTCTTTTCAGATCCTACGCTTTTCGTGTAATGTCTGGATAGGTTGACTCTCATGGCGTTTGAGAATCTATACAATAATTTGGCAGCAAACCAGTCTGTCCTGATTTCCAGGTCACTGGGAGATATGCCACATGACTTCACATTGGCCTTTAAGGTGTCTTTATAATGCTTATGCTGACCACCCATAATGTGCTTTCTGTGAACAAGCTGGCTGTAGAAGACCATCTTCAGTATCCGTGTATCATCCATCCTCATAACGTGACAAGCAAAACTCTTTGGTCATAAGCATTGCTTCCATGTCCAGGTCACCACACAGCTTAAGGACCTCCGATTAGGAATTCTGTCCCGCCAACTCAATCTTCCTGAGGCAGCACATATGGAATTGATCATCTAATACAGGGGTGGGCAAATACTGGCACAGGCCAGATCCAGTCCAACAGGGTCCGACACCACCGCATTTACCTGTGCCTCCGCATTTACCTGTGCCTCCACAGGTATGAGGGATCAGAGCTCCCATTGGCCACAGATCGCCATTCCTGGCCAATGGGAGCTGCAATCACTCGCATCTGTGGAGGTGCAGGTCAATATAGCAGCAGCAGCCCACTGGCCCCGAGGCTAGCCCTGGTGAACCATCATCGTTTATTGCCTACCCCTGGTCTAATATCTAGTATCTACTATTGCTCATCTAAAGCATGGGTGTTTGGGAACTTTGACGCAGCAACCTGTTCTCAGCTTTCACCCCATTATTAAAATTGAAACAGTTAGCTCCGAGGTGCCTAGTATTTGGCTTTTAATAAAACAGATAATTTTTCTTCTCCATCATTAAGATCCTACAGAGCACAGGTTCAGCTTTACAATCTTTGCACAGATGGTCTAGTCACTGGCCCCAGAGCCTGCCCCACAGCTGATGGAAGTCAATAGAAAGATTCTTATTCACTTCAACAGCCTCTGGTTCCTGTCCACCACCTAGCAGAAACTGGCTTCACCTGCTCCATGCAGCCTTAGATATAAGAAAGGTCTGGGAATTCGCAATAAAGTCAAATGTCTCTTTTGCAATTGGCATGAATGTGTATCATTTAGAGAGGAATAGAGGGTTACCTAGCACATGCACAGTAAACACAGTCCTCCCTTGTTCCACTTTACGTCACTATAGTCTGTCACTGGAAGAATCTCAGTTTCCAGCCCTAACAGTACCCCACCTGTAAAGCCATAATCTTACACTTGCATGTCAAATCTGTAGAATGCCTGAAAGCTGCTCATAAAATCAGTCTCTGCTCTTGTATCACCATAATCCCATTTTTTGTAAAGTGGGTATAATTGAGTTTACACCAGCAATGCAGCTGGCAGAAATGTGACCCTCTAATTCAAGATACACTTCTGAGTCAGAGGAACTAGAAACTCTCAATATACAGGTGGGGAGAAGAGAGAGACAATAGACAGTTCAAACAATGCAAAGGAACAGGGCTGCATTCTTGTGCAGCAGCAAAATCAATGTAATCACAAATGACAACTTCTGAAAACCTTCTTTGGATTCATCCCTTGCAATTTTCTAGGCCAGCTTGAAAACAAAAGCTTTGGTCGTCCTCTTAAAATGCAGTGGCCTCAGGCATCCAAAAAAACGACATAACTCAGCTCGGAAAAATGCCTGTTCGCTTTCAGATTCTTCTAAGAGCTTCTCTTTATTATTCAGCGGGATTCAGACCAGCGTGAATTCTACCGATTAACCTTCCACTACGAAGATAGTTATGAAAAACACCGATTTCGGATTATATTTTAACTACCTCATTACAACTTTATAGTTATGAGAAAATAGCTTGTTACTTGCTTGAAACATTTTTCCTTCTTTCCCCATAGTGTGTTTTATGAATTTATAAACCATTTGCTGTGACATTTTATCCTCATGCTAGCTCTCTTCAGCTCATTATTTCAGGTTTTTTTCCCCCAGCATGTACCACTTGCTAGATATTTCCATCATTCCTACTCCTGGTTTCAAATCAAGCCAGCGTTTCAGACTAGCTTCCAATGCAATTGAAACCTGAACACATAGAGCCATACATTTTAATTCAGAAACACTGTACATTCCTTTTGTGTTTCTCCAAATAGCAAGATACAATCCCGCGCAGGAGGGGGACACAAGAGGAAACGACTAAGCAGAGGAAAAGTAACAGAGATGTATTCCTTTGGTATATATGGTCATGCCCATTCTCTTCCAGGATTTGATCCGAGGAAGTGGGTCTGGCCCACGAAAGCTCATCACCTAATAAACCATCTTGCTAGTCTTTAAAGTGCTGCATAGTCCTGTCTTTTGTTAAGCAGGGGAAAGGAAGAGATGTGGATCTCTTTGACCATCTCCGACTTGCAAAACTAACATTTTGGAAAATTCTGCATTAGCTTTAGTGTATCAGGAGCTGCTGAGATTTGTATACCCTGGGGCCATTTCCTTTGACTCGACATAAAATACTAGGCCTGAAAGTCCCTGTTGCAGCCAGCTACTCACAACACAAATCATGGAAAGTTCTGCTGCTTTTATTTAATAATTTGATGCACGGGTAACTAAAATGTCTCTTGGCTGAGAATGCTTTCAACTTTTCTTTTTGGAGAGACACAGTATTATTTCACACACGCCACTCTATTGAGACACTTAACCCACCCCTTAGCTCTAAGCAAAACATCCTTCCAAAATCACGGCTTTTTCTACAGGAAATGGTTCTTAAGGGATGCACCTTCTTTTGCTTTGCCATTCCTGTAAAATTCTTCCACAATGTTATCTTGACAGTCAACCTCAACATTCAGGCAATCTTTCATTCATAGCCCCCTGAGAACTAAATGAATAATACCTGCCTTACTATATGCACTCAGGTTCAAACAAGCCCAATTCTCCAGCTAAAAAAAATTAGTTTTAAAAACTTCTAGGACTATGAGGAATAATCTTTGTGAGAATCTTTGGAAGTGGGTGAGTTGTCAGAGATTCGAAACAGCTTTTTCTTCTTACATATCTTTGGTGCAACAGTGCCTAGGTTTTGGTCACACAACATGTGTGTCTTCTTCTACCCGCAGGAGCGGGAAGAGGAATCTCAGGTAAACAAAAGATGCAATACATTTTACATTGCTTTGAAGCTCCTTCTGCATTTGCGGTTTTTAGTTCATTTACATGAAACTTTTTCCTAAATAAAAATGAGAACCAACTCTTAAGAAACAGCAAAATGGGATGATACAAAAACCCAGCTCAACCTGCCCCCACCAAACCAGAAGTGACAGATCCTGAACCAACAATTTGACTACCTGAGATGGATTAGCCCAACTGGAATCTAAGATAGGGGAATATGGGCTAGATTTGAGGTATTTGCTTTAGCAAATGCAGGTCTGAGCCCAGGCCCTGTTCTCTCTCATTCAGAACTCTGGCATGCAGAGGTCTCACATATCAGGTCCCTCCTGGACACCACATATTGACACAGGCTATTGATTAGCACGCTTATGGCCCTTACTCACAGAAGACAAGTCAATAATAACCTCTTTAATATGAAACAGGATGCATCCTGCCTCAGAACTGTCAAATGCAGCCTTAAAACCTTCCACCTTCTAAAGTTCAGGGGAGAGCTACAGATAGAACAGTGGCAACCCGTCAGCTCCAATTATTATATGTAAGAAAACTACCACTTAAAAGCAAACAAAAAAAGTGTTTTAACAATAACCGGCAAAAGATTTATTTCCAGCCCCCATTGGCTACAAAGAAAGCACTTTTGTTCAGGTATGGTTCAAGCTGACATGGGATTTGATTAGTGCATTCAGTCAGCACAAAGCATCTTAAATAAGTTCCAACAAGCACAACAAAAATCTTAGCCTGAGAGAGTCCAGGGCTTCAATTTTACGAGTGCGATAAGATAACCTGTTATCATTTCACTACTACTTTTCCAATCTGAACCCCCGATTGCAACAAGGGATAAAAATATTCTTTTGAACATAGCACAGAACCAGCAAATCCAGCCTCAAAAATACACGACAAAAAACACAAGACACACCTGGGTCAATATATTTCCATCAGTAAAGCGCTGAGACACAGAATGGTCTGTCATCCAATCAGAACAGGTTTATTGTTTCCCTCCAAGTGGATTAAGGTAGAAAAGGTTTTATCCCACACTCTGCGGGCAAAATCTGGGCCCCATTCAAGTCAATGGCTTCTTTGCCATTGACTTCAGTGGGGCCAGGATTTCACCCAGACAGTTTTTGGAAACACGAATGTTTCTCATCCTTCAGCCCACCGGGGTGGATGCCTCTGTCCTCTTTCCCCCTTGCTGTTCTCCCCACATCACCAGACAGATGAAGAACATTGTAAGCTCCAAACTCCCAAAGAACAGTTAAAAAGGAAGTGGGGGGAATTCTCATTGTCAACAAATCCATATTTTAAAAAACTCTCTCAAGAAGATTCTATGTATTTTTGCAAGAGGCAATGCAAACACCCAAGAAAAAAAAAAAAAAAAAAAAAAAGGAGGAGAGGGAGGAGACAAAAATTGTAAAAAGTTAAGAGAAAGAAGAAACCCCACACAGCATTCAAACATCGCACCTGCCACAAGATGGATAATCGCCTCTGAAAGCAGAGAAGTGCTTAAAACAAACACACTTTCAAAACAGACTTTCTTATTTAAAAAGGGGGGGTGGGGGCTTAATCAGTTTTTTAAAAGGGAAAGAAGAGGGATGCAAGGCGGGGAATTAGCGGGTGCATCGGGAGGCGCGTTGAGTTGCTAACCCTCACCCCTGCAAGGGCCGACACAGAGCAGAGGGGTCTGAGTTAGGAAAAAAAATCCCATGAAGCTTTTGTGGGAAAGACGTGGGGGGTGTTTTAAATTAATGACAAGAAAAAGACTCGGGGAGGGGGAAGCCGCCCAAGAAGAAGGAAGAAAAAATACTCACCGAGCAAGAAAATGTCAGAGGTAAAAATGTCAAAGAAGGAGAAGGGAGTGAGGAGGGGGAGGAGGAAAGAGGGAGAGCCAGCCCCGCGCACCGCACTGCCCAGCGCCCCCGCGTCCCAGATGTGCCCAGATGTGCCCCGCGTCCCAGATGTGCCCAGATGTGCCCCGCCCCCGCGTCCCAGATGTGCCCAGATGTGCCCCGCGTCCCAGATGTGCCCAGATGTGCCCCGCCCCCGCGTCCCAGATGTGCCCAGATGTGCCCCGCGTCCCAGATGTGCCCAGATGTGCCCCGCCCCCGCGTCCCAGATGTGCCCAGATGTGCCCCGCGTCCCAGATGTGCCCAGATGTGCCCCGCCCCCGCGTCCCAGATGTGCCCAGATGTGCCCCGCGTCCCAGATGTGCCCAGATGTGCCCCGCCCCCGCGTCCCAGATGTGCCCAGATGTGCCCCGCGTCCCAGATGTGCCCAGATGTGCCCCGCCCCCGCGTCCCAGATGTGCCCAGATGTGCCCCGCGTCCCAGATGTGCCCAGATGTGCCCCGCCCCCGCGTCCCAGATGTGCCCAGATGTGCCCCGCGTCCCAGCTGTGCCCAGAGGTGCCCCCGCGGCCCAGATGTGCCAGGGCTGGGCTGAGCTGGCTCCTGGGGGGCCCGGGGCGCGCAGCTCGCCTGGATGTCGGGGGGCAGCGCACAGCGGAGCCCCCGGGGCC